AATGTCTAGCTATTGATATTATGTTGTCCAAGTTTATGTTTACATCCTTTTCGTCATTTTTCTAATGAATCTTTGTTCATTGTTATATGATAATAATACTATTCTTATTTTTTCAATTTAGTCATATGATATCTAGTGTTTTTCTCAGCTAACACTATTTGGGTCCTGTGTTCTTATCTTGCCTGCATATTTATATCCAAGAATGAATATAAATGTGCAATTCTAAATGAAGCAATGTTAAATAGACATTAACAATAGTTACAACTTTGAATATTAGTTGTAGCACTGACATTATTTACTTTGTGGTTTATATTTTAAATTTATACTTAAAATGTGTTAACAAGTATAAATATACCTATGAAAAATTAGATATGTAACACGATGTGAACCTGTGTTATTTATATTATGATTGTATTTTAATGAACTTTTCAGTTCTTGTTAATACCTTAGATATAATGGTCAAAAGTGCTTTTAATACATGATTGATAATATATATTTATTTATTTTGCTTACTTAACAAATTTGAATGAGTTAAATATAATTTGAAATGTCTTCCTTTTATTTAGTCTATTAAAATATTTTTCTTTATATTGATTATTAAATGAATGAAAGAGAAAAAAATAAATATTTTTAAAAAAGTGATGTTAATTTTAAAGAAAAGAATTGCAAAAAAATATTTTTTTTTAAAATGTTAGTTTTTAGAGTGAGAATTTTTTTAAAAATATAAAAAATAGAAATATGAATTTTAAAAATATTAATTTTTAGAGGGAGAAAAATATAATTTGTGTATTTTTTGAAAACAATTAGAGAAAAGAATACAATAAATTAATTTTTTTCAAAACATATTAGTTTTAGAGTGATATTTTTTAAAAAATTTATAAAAAATAGAAATATGAATTTTAAAAATATTAATATTTAGAGAGAAAAAAAATATAATTTATGTATTTTTTTGAAAAAAATTAGAGAAAAGAATACAATAAATTATTTTTTTCAAAACATATTAGTTTTAGAGTGATATTTGTTTAAAAATTTATAAAAAATAGAAATATTAACTTTTAAAATATTAATTTTTAGAAAAAAAATTATTAAATTTTTATATTTTTTAAAAACATAAAAAATATAAATAAAAAGTATAAAAAACAATAATTTTATTTTTATTATTAATTCTCTGTCACCTTCCCCTCTCCATATTAAACATTTAAAATAAGAGAGGGATTTAATCCTCTTTCCCTCCCTTCCTTTTCCCTTCAAACTCTTTTTTTTTTTTTCTTTCAAACTCTCAAACAAAATTTAAGACGTATTTGATAATTATGACAAGATAATAGGATAAAATATTTTATTATATAATATGTGTGATGTTTTACTCATTTTAAATATAATTTATTAAAAATAAATAATTATAATTATAAAACTATTTATGAAAATTATTATAATTAGTATCAACTTTTTTATATTTTTCAAACAGAAACACAATTTTTAGTTTTAAATGATTATATATATATATATATATATATATATAATTCAAATTTTAAATTATTTTTAAAATTTCATTAATTTTGATAAATAAGATTTTTATTATTTAAATATAATTTATACCTTATACTATTAATTTTTATTTATCGTAATATTAAATAGAATCACATAAGGTTGTTGTTTGATTTAATGTCCTATAGTATATAAAAAATAAAATAAAAACTTATTTATTTGTATAGTATATTTTATCCATATTCAATTTTTATAGTATATAAAACAAATTTTAGGCTAAATTAGCAAACTTGTCCTTTTTCTATTTTCTTTAGTTTAGTTTTTTAATTTTTGTTGTTTTATTTCTTTTTAACTTGTAAAAATACTCCAAATAAATATTTTTTCATAAATAAACGTTAAATTTTTTAAAAAATTATTATTATTTTTTCTTATGAATTATTATGAAAACACAACACCAATAATGTATTTGGAAATTGGATGTGAGAATTTAATATTATAGTGATCGGTCTTTTCAAGCTCTATGACAAGTTGAGAGGAAAGATTACCCTTAACAATACAATAATATAAGTACTTCGTGCTTATGTCAATAATTTGATGACATGTGAAGCCATTTGATGGAGATTTTATTTTTAATTAATCGATTATTATATGTCTTTGTTCGACAACCAGGGTGTGACAATTAAGTAACTTTTTAAAAAAAAAAGTTTAATTGAAAAAGTCAGCTCTTGACTATTTTTAAAAAGATGATTAACACATTGGTTAAAAAGTCATTGAAAACCGTGAGTTTATTTTGATATATAATATATCAACTACGGTAGTTGACAAATTAAAATGAACATTTTATATATATATATATATATATATATATATATATATATATATATATAAATTAAAATGAGCTAATGGTGATTAAAAGAGGTTACGTAGAGTTCAAAAATTAAGAAAATAAAGATTAAGTATACTTTTTTTTTATGATTTTTATTTTTATTTTTAATATTGTTTTTTATCTTGTTGCTGTTTATTTTAATTTTAAAATTTATTTATATTTTTAATATTAAATATTTTGTAATAAATTCTTGTAAATTTTTTGTTAGAATTTAATTCTAAATTAAGAAATCAAAATTTAGGACCATTAACTCTTTTCTCGTTAAGATTAAACGGAACCTTTACACATGACATATTACATTATTTAAATTTTTAATATTTTATTATTTATAAATAAATCTTTAAATATATATAAAAATGTTTCTCTAACTATTTTTCCTTCTTCTTCCTACACCCATTCCCCTTCTGCAGCGTACCTCCTCCCATTTTCCTTCTTTCTTATACCAACTCATTCAATGTCCATAAAAATTGATGTGTCGTGAGAGATTATAAATTTGATGCATTTTCATACTGAGCTTTGCTTTAAGTGGATTCCACCTCAATGGTTGTCATATCACTCTAGACGATTTTAGGTTCTAGAAATTATACAACTTAAATCAATTCTATTGACTTTTTAATCAGAGATTGAAATTCAGTAAACCAAAATTGATCTCCCCCTTTAATGGGATTTAATTACTTCCCACAACTTACAGTCAGTACCAAAGGAATTCATATTAGGTGTAACAGGCCTCATAATAGACTTTTGAGAGTAAAATTAATCTTAAACATGTTCTCTGATCAACTATTATATCTGATTAGGAGTTTAATAGTAACATATTTCTTTCATAAAATGTATGGTCTTGAGTGTAGAAAGTGTTTTGTTCACCAATAAATTATTGCAAGTGAATCCTCTTCGGAAGCACTAACATTGGGAGTGCCGATGTTGTCATTTCCAACACGAGTGACCAAGTCACAAATGCAAGGTTCTTGGTAGATGTTTATCGGGTAGGGATTAAGTTGGAGAAGCAGCGGGGTGGACAGCAGAGGGATGGGATAAGGGTGGATAGCGGGGGATGGAAAAAAGAAAGAAAAAAAGAAGAAGAATGACTTAATTTGTAAATATATAAAATATATTTATGGATTTATTTATAAATATTAATTTTAAATAATAAAATATTAAAATAGTAAAACAAAAAAATTAAGTCAGCTTAACACTTAATGAAAAAGATTAAATTATAATTTTTTAACTTTTCAAAAATTAAATCTCAACAAAAATAAATTATAAAAACTTATCATAAAATAATAAATATTTATAGAGACAAAAAAATAATTAAATTTAATTTTAATACTTTAATCTCTTTTATTATCTAGTCCTATAAAAAATTATAATAAAAAATTAAGTAACAATACAAATTAATCTACTCTAATTCGTCAAAAAATTACTTAAAAATAAGCTAATTCAAACTTGTTTTATTTAGAAAATGAATTAGATTTTCTATCTCAACTTGTTTAAAGATGAGATAACAAACTAACTAGCCAAAAATAATAAAAAATAAAAAATAGTTAGTAGATTATTGAATTAATGGATCAGTCCACCAATCTTTTTTTAAAAAATAAAAAATATAATAAATAATAAAAATTATTTTTATATTAATAAAAAATAATATTTAATTAGTAAATAATTATTTATTAATTTTAAGAATAAAAAATGTGTCTGACAAGTTAGCGAACTTATTCTACCATTGGTCTACATTTTAACAGGCTAAGACAAAATAAGTTGAATAAGCTGATAGATCCAAAACATGCCAAATTCACTAATTTTGATAGGTTAGATGAATTGGCCCGTTAAGCTAAACCTACTTTAATAATTTATTAAGAACCTTTCCGTTTATTTTATTATTTAATAATAATTCAAAATTAAATATATGTTGTAAAAAATAAAAGACTAAATATATTTAAATTTATAAAAGCTTAAAAATATAAAAAAAAATATGAAAAAAATAAAAATCATATTAAATTTATAAAAGAAAACTAAACTCTTATTGAAAGACACAATTTTAATTTTTTTTTTAATTCTCAACTTTACATTTTATTTAATAAACTATAGATATCATCAAACATATCATATCACAATAATTTTTTTTTGGGTATTTGACATAAAACTACAAATATCTTTGCACTCTCTGTTCAAATATTTAACACAGTGCTAATATCTTTAAGTATTTAACATAACATCACAAATATCTTTTATAACAAAACTTTATCTCTAAGTATTTAAAACAATTACAATCACATATTAAAATAACCCCTTATACAAGTTGATTCCCACTCTAATTAGTTACACTACTTTTGTAAGAGAGGAGATGAATGATAAAATTTATGTTAACTTCACTTAAATATAAAATTATTTTAATAATATAAGTAATAACTTTAACGTTTAATGTACTTAAAATATATTTTATCCTGTTAATAAAATAAAATATAATATTGAAATGACTTTTAAATTAATTGATAATTATTACAAAAGTTAAAGAATCATGATTGATATAATAATTTAATATTAGCCGTGGGTGTATATATCTTAATTTATTTATTTATATAGAAAATATAAGATCTGCAAGCATATACCAAACCAATTTTTCGTTGATAAATCAGTAAGCTGTGGCACTTTGTGCGCGTCGCCCACTGTTTCCTTCTATATCTCTACACTTCAAAAGTGATTCTCTGAAACGTACTTCGATCTCATCGTATTGGGTACGCTAATGCTATTGAAACTCTTTAACCACAGATCCAGAAGTTATTTATAGTTAAAACAGTTGCGTAAATCGTTACAATTTCCTAACCGTTTCTGTTTTAGATGGCTTCTTCGCTTCTCTCCGTAACTTCTCCCTCTTCTTCTCTCTCCATTCACCATATCCACAAGGTAATAATATCTTTCAACATTCCTTCACACATTTTAATTATTGCATTTTCTTAGGATTTAACTTTGGTGTTGAACAGGGAAGACCCAAGCTTGGAGGCAACGCTTTAAGGCTTAAGAATTCAAGGGTATGTGTGAATGACTTAGCTTCTTTTACTTTTATGCTTTTTTTATAAAAAAAAATTTAACTGTTACTTGTTCATGTTCTTCACTAACTAGTTTTATTGTATTGGATTGTGAAAAGTCGATTTGGACCATGATTAAAATTGTGTTTAAAATAAGGATTCAGGAGTGTAAGGACACAATTGAGTGTGCCAATTAGTTATAACGCCTTAGTAATACACTGAATTAGTCCTTGAAATTATATGCATTAGAGAATTTAGTTCCTGGAATTATAAAAATCTTACTTTAGTTCTTGAAGTGATCAAATATGAATCATTTTAGTCCTTATTGTTATAATTCCAGAGATTAAAATGGCTGTCATTTTGTAATTTCATGAACTAAATGGTCATAGTTTGATAATTTGAATGATTAAAATGACATTTTTGGACCGATGCTCATAAATTAGGGACTAATTTGAGTTGTTAGTCCTAATTTCCTTTTCTGTGTCCTAACGTGATGTCTGCCAATTTTATTTCACAGTCCTGTGGTCGGTTCTCTATGGCTGTTGCGGTTAATGTTTCTCGATTTGAGGGCATACCTATGGCTCCTCCTGATCCAATTCTTGGAGTTTCTGAAGCATTTAAAGCAGACACAAGTGATGTTAAGCTCAATCTTGGAGTTGGGGCCTATAGAACAGAAGAACTACAGCCATATGTGCTTGATGTTGTTAAGAAGGTCTTTGTTTGTTTCTTACTTGATGAGTGTGTAGTGATTTGAGTGACCCATGTTTGCACAATACTCCTGTCAAATGTTTATTCTTAATTTTACTTCTGGTTAACAAACCTAAGACTATTTTTCAATTAAGTTAATATTGATTTAGAGGTTCTCGCTTTTTATAGGCAGAGAATCTTATGCTGGAGAGAGGTGATAACAAAGAGGTAATTTCCTTTACATCACATGCCTTTATGTGTGGATTGGAACAACTGGCTTTAGATTATTGACTATGATTTAACTTGTAAATGCAGTATCTCCCCATTGAGGGTTTGGCTGCATTTAATAAAGCTACTGCAGAGTTGTTGCTTGGAGCAGACAACCCAGCAATCAAAGAGCAAAGAGTATGTAGTGGAATCTAGAAAATATAGATGTTTTGAAGGAAGTTATCGGTTATTGGTTATGAGTGAATAGAAAGTAAATAACTAATAGTCAACTTTTTTCTTTTTTTTTTACTTATATTATTCAATTTTGCCCAGGTTGCCACTGTTCAAGGTCTTTCTGGAACTGGTTCTCTGAGACTAGGTGCAGCTCTGATAGAACGATATTTTCCTGGAGCAAAAGTTTTGATATCGGCACCTACCTGGGGTGTGCATTTCATTCCTTTCTGTGTTAACTTGGTTATGTTTGTTTCGAGGGAAGTTATACATTCTGGGTAACATTATTGTCTTGCAGGTAATCACAAGAATATTTTCAACGATGCTAGAGTCCCATGGTCTGAGTACCGATATTATGATCCTAAGACAGTCGGCCTGGATTTTGAGGGCATGATTGAAGATATAAAGGTTACATCCTGATCTTGAATTTAGAAAGTGAAATTGATTATACTCTTATACAGACTATGAACAGTGTTTTATTTTACTTCTATTTGATATATTTTTCCCTCTCTTGATCCCTTCATCTTAGGTCTAAACACTTGTAATATTTTCTTGAAAGGGATATTTTCAAAAACATCTTTCACTTAAAATACAACTGATGTCACTGCTTTGATTAACATGCCGCTACAGTGTAATGGTATTCAATGGGTAATTGATTTGGTAATTGTAACTTGAGCATCTTGTTATGAAGGCACACGTAGAAACATAAATTCTCATTTAATTTGTAGATTCCTTCAATTCTAGATTAAATTGAACTCTTCGTAATTGTATATTTTACTTTTTTTTAGTCATCTCCCGATGGAACTTTTGTGCTACTTCATGGATGTGCTCATAACCCTACTGGTATTGATCCAACCCCTGAGCAGTGGGAAACAATAGCTGATGTAATTCAAGAAAAGAACCACATTCCTTTTTTTGATGTTGCTTACCAGGTACCAATATTTGGGATAATGAACTATCTTTAAGTAAATTTCTGGGTAGTATATTTCAAAACCATTAACATATTCAAAATTATGACAAATAATCTTTATAGAGACCTGGAACCTGATTAGCTACATGGTGACCTCCTTATTAAATTTTACTATTTTAGGGATTTGCTAGTGGAAGCCTTGATGAAGATGCAGCATCTGTGAGATTGTTTGTGTCACGTGGCATGGAAGTTCTTGTAGCTCAGTCATACAGTAAAAATCTAGGTCTCTATGCTGAAAGGATTGGAGCAATCAATTTAATTTCATCATTACCAGAATCTGCAGCAAGGTGTGATAAACTAAGTATGCTGTACTTTTTCCTATCTGAAGTTGAATGGACATGTCTAAGAAAAAAATGAATCTGTCTACTTTCTTCTCATGCATTTTTATTCCTTTTCTAGAAGGGTGAAGAGATCATTTTATCAATGAAGTACAGGTTGAATGAAATAGTTGTAATCTGATGCTATTCTCATGATAGTGATACTGTCTCTTAACATCATGACAAAATGCTTAAGTTTGTTTTAAGAAAGAAAATATTTTAGTCAACTTGATCAGGGCAATATATGCCACAGTAAAAGTTGTCTTTGATTGACAATGTGGTAACTATGTATTTCAGGGTAAAGAGCCAGTTAAAAAGGCTTGCACGACCAATGTACTCCAATCCACCTGTACACGGGGCTAGGATTGTTGCCGATATTGTTGGAAACCCTGCTCTTTTTGATGAATGGAAAGCAGAAATGGAAATGATGGCTGGGAGGATAAAGAATGTTAGACAGCAACTATATGATAGTATTACTTCAAAAGACAATAGTGGAAAAGATTGGTCATTCATACTAAAGCAGATAGGCATGTTCTCATTCACGGGGTTGAACAAGGAGCAGGTAGTTGACTCCCATTGTAACTTCTTGCATGTGATAAATCCCCTTTTAGATTTTTTACACTGTGATTTGATTTTCCTGTGTTGCAACATTGACTGTGTTGTTCTTAAATTTTATGTTGTGTTATCAGAGTGACAATATGACAAATAAGTGGCACGTATACATGACGAAAGATGGAAGGATTTCCCTGGCAGGATTGTCATTGGCGAAGTGTGAATTCCTTGCCGATGCTATCATTGACTCGTATCATAATGTCAGCTGAAACTCAATCAAATATTATGCAATAGAGCCAAGAATATATTTTTGGTGAGTAATATACCCAATCGCAGTGGTTGGAATACATGGAAATAATTCAAGTATGTAAGCATTAATTGTCATGTGTAACTGATTCCTTAGGAAATTTTGTAACCTTGAACTTGAAAGTTGAGTTATAGTATTGACACATCATGAGTCTGCTTCTCAAGCATGAAGCAAGTTGAATTGATGCATGATGAGTCTGTTTCTTATTTCTAGTGGGTAAGATTGAATAAAGCTTGATAACATTAGTTTTGCTGGCTGCATGTGCTTCAGATGTTAGTCAGTATCTTTTTCTTTCTTTTTTAATCCTGCTTCCTGTATGATTGAATAACTTATATTTTATGTTTTGATAGAGAAACGTTGAGAGTTCACCCATGTTGTTTATTGTGATTGGTGATGAGGTAACTAGAACCAAGAATGTAAAATAATTGATTGTAGGATTTTAAGAAGAAAAATAGCATGTTTTGTCATCTTGAACCAAAAAAAGTAAAGGCAAGAAAGATGGAAATACCCACGTGATCTAGAGAGGGGGAGAGAGACCAGCTCGTAGCCATACTAAGCTAAATTGTGTCAAGAGGGATATATATGCTGCTTTACGTAATTTATCAACCCAATTAGAACCACATGGGTCATAGGCACTGTTATCCGACGGAATGGCTCAATCATATGTATTTCTGGAATCTGTACAAGTTACCATGTTGAAATTCCTTTACATAGTATTTGATTGAAGAAAAATGGAGAGAAGAAAGGAAGGAAACGGATTCTTAATAATAAGCGAATTACATTTATTCTTAGCAAAATAAAATTTAGAAGAGCATAAGTAATATACTTTCTAATACTCTCTTTCAAACTCCATATTATTAATTAAAGTTTATTAGAAAATGCAAAATCATGAGTATTGCTCATTAAATACTTGTAGAACCCATGCTATTTCGTAAGTCATTATAAATTTTGGCCACTGATGGAGTTTATTTGGAAGAGAATGTTGTTAGCATTTCTCTAATTCGTAGCCCAATTTGTTGAATTTCATAACAGCCAAAAGAGGGAATGGAAGACAATCAGATCCTCCCTGAACAGTTCAACGTTCAACAAAATCACCACTCTATACACATTTTCACAAAAAGTGAAATTAATTTCTTCTCATTTGTCATTAACAAGCCAAAGATCGCCTACCCCATTAGGCCTACTCTTCCCCTATGAACTTGTTCAGCATTTCAGGTCACTCCTAGGCTGCATCTATTACAGAATCAGTGTGGTTGTTATGAATCATTCTGTAATTTGGAGCCTTGACAAAGCCTCACTAATTTGGTAGCATCACAAAACATGTCCCAGATGGATTCTCACTACGTAATGTCGCAAATTGTTCATTGATTAGAATCCACATGTGGATCAGCTGGTAAAACTTGCTGGGCCATTTGTGGAACTCTCAGTGTTCCTCCAAGCTCCACAGGTACAAGAGGGATGAGCGAGTGAAGAACATCTGCAATCAAAGGACGGTAGCTCGGCTCAGGTTGCACACACAGCACAGCCACAGCAGCAACCTACGAAGTACCAATTTGAGGTTGCAGTTAACCAAAATACATTTCTATAACAACTTTTTCCCATACTATTAATTAAAATTTAGGTGAATCTCACACAAAAGAGAGCATTATGATAACGAAAGTACAAAAGTGACCTCATTTAGTGGGAGTCACATTAACTACAATCAATATAAAAAGTAGGTTAACGGTTTCAAATATCCTCAAACCTGGTACAAGTGCTTGGGGTCCATGGTATTCTTAATTACAGGATCCACGATGTTTGGAAGCTTGGATCTGTCGGTGAGCTGTGGCATGGCCTGTAATGATCATAAATAGCTTTGTCATTTATTTCCAACATCAACCCAATTAAATTTGATCAGGTAAAACCTTACCCATGTGACAATAGATTGGCATTGAGCTGGTGCTAGTTTTTCCACAGGCTTCCTTCCTAATAGAAGCTCCAGAAGCACCACTCCAAAAGCATAGACATCGCTTTTATCGGTCAATTTACCTGTTAAAATAATTAAAATACAATCTCCTCAGAAAATAATTCATGCTTTGAGGGTGATGAATTTCTCACAAAATTTCTCATTGCTCAATGAACTATTACTGATGCCCGTGTGGTTCCTTAGCTCCTAGCTATTTCACCAAGTTTCAAGAAAATCCTCGGAGAACTACTTCCATTCACAATCTTTTAATAATTGAAATAAGACAAATACTAGTTAATGTCTTCAAAGCATTAGTTAAGAAATTAATAATAAATTTTTAATAAAATGAGTCTGATTAACCGCTGTTCTTAGAACACTGGTTAAGAAATTGAAAGTGAAAAAGCTTTCAAAAAATTACAATGGATTGTATTAAAAATCACATGGAGAGGTGTATTGATAACATTTTGAAATAATTTTTTTTTCACTTTTAAATTTTTAACAAGTATCTTAAGAATACTGGTTAACATTTCCTTTATAATAATATAATAATGCCCTCCTCCAATAATTTTTAATTCACTCCTAACGTGATTTTGAATAATTTTTATTAATTTCTTAACAAGTTCCCTTAACAGGACCCTTAAAATAAAATGCCAATCCCCGCCAAATTATCAAAGTTTTCAACTGCATAATAGAAAACTAATAGGCATTTGACCTGAGAAAACCTTCCAATGTTTCCCATCTAAGAGAAGAATCAATTCCACCTCATCGATGCTTGCTGACATAGCAGCTAAGAACAAATAATAGTTCCCACTCTCAAGACATTTATTATCACCATTATTAATTTTTATGACACAGACAAGAAGCAACTGGAGCAAAATAGGCATATGAGACTGCATGTTTAACTGACAGCATATTAATTTAATAAATAATGTATATAACATGCCAGGTCAATTGGGCAGGTACATGCCCAATATGAGCACAGATCACACCTTTCAAACCCACCTTACACTCATCACATAATTAATGCATCAAAGGGTCCAAAAAGACCAATATCTTGGATCTGACTTGTTGAAAGCTTAGGGACATATTAAACATTTAGCAACTTGTCAGACCAATGCATATGTATGCAATATGAAATTATATCAAGTTCAGTTGGCATACCATCTAAAAGATACTCTGGGGCTACATAACCCAATGTGCCTGAAAGCTTGATGTTATTCTTATTTTGGGACCCATTAGTTATGGCAAGACCAAAATCAGAAAGCTGAATCCCCCAGTAGGCGCACACAGGAAAGAAATTTTGGTTAACACAATAAAATAAATGTGTAGTAGAGAAAGGAAACTATAATATATTCACCAAATTCAAAATGGGTCTTTCTGGTTTTACCTTGGCATTGAACTTTGTATCTAAAAGAATATTAGAAGATTTCAGATCTCTATGGATCACCGGAGGGTTACAGTGCTCATGCAGATATTTTAATCCCCTGGTTGACATTAATCAATAGCATGTTAACAAACAGACAATAAACCAAATAAAAAATAATAGGGGTCTTTCTACCAAATGAAAAATAACAGGGATTTTACTAACAATTAGTGAAGAAATTAAAAATATTTTTTATTAAAAATAATTAAAAAGTTCTGAATAATATTTTTTTGAATAGTTTTTTTTTCTTAACCAATCTTCTAAAGACATTAGTTATCATGTACTTAATAATAGTATCCTTATTTTTAATATTTTTATTATCAATTAAAATTTATTAAAATTTGTCCACGTCACCTTTAGACTTTAATAAATTTTAATTAATAATAAACTTTAACTATTATACGATTAAAATAAAATGCATTAAAGAGAATGAATTGCTAATATTGTTCTAACTCAATTAGGAAAATAAACAGAAGCCCAGACACGGAAGATTACCTTGCTGTGTCAAGGGCTATCTTCATCCTCAAATGCCAAGTCAAGGCCGAGCCATGAGAAGGTCCTTCACATAATCATTTTTTGGAAAATAAAATGATTCGCATTATTTATGTACCAAAAAATTATATTAACATTATTTTATAATTGACCTCATTATCTTTCAATTTCTGCCTTATACTAGACAATAAAGCATCAGAAATTCAGAAACGTCTTTACCGTGTAAATGAGTTTCCAATGATCCATTTTGCATCAATTCATAGACAATAATCCTCGTATCGTCATTACTGCTACAACCCAGAAGAGAAATTACATTTGGATGTAGAATTTTACTTAACAAATCCACCTCGTTCTGCAAATTCATCCAAGTCCAACTATTCAGTATGATATTTAAAAGTTGTGATAGAAATATAATATTAAAAATTAAAATATTCATTTAGTCAGTATAGCAACACTTATTTTCAAATTTATTTTTGTGTTAAAAAAATTTACGTTTTAATTTCTATATGACATAACACGTTTACGAAACACTGGTGTAAAAGTTAAACAAATTTTTTTTAAATATAAGAATTAATTTGTAAAGGAGCGTTAATTGTAGGGATAAATATGTATTTAAACCTTAAAAGAAAAAGCGTAGAAAAATGAATAAATTAATAGTAAGCATTACCTCAAATTCCTGCTCAGCATGCTGACTTTCACAGTGCAGTTTCTTGACGGCAACATCCAAGTTATCATCCAAATGAGCCTTGTAAACGCGTCCAAAACCACCCTCACCCAAAATGTTACTTTCCTTGAAATTGCTGGTGGCTTTTTCTATTTGCTTATAATCAATTATTGGAACACACCCTTTCTTACCAACCATCTTGACAGAGCTGAATTTACTCAAAAATGGAGCTGAAGCTAGCCCTTTCTCAGCATCTATGCATTAAAAAAACACATGTGAAAACAAATCTCAGAAAATACCAATAAATCAAATTAAATGTCAGTGTTTCTTGGCATCCCAAAATTGGAATTAATCTTAAAAATTATGTGAGTCACGCATTTTAGTCTCTGATTTTAAAAATCCTTTATTAATTCATAACTTTACAAAAGGATATTCATTTTAGTTATTTTGAAGCTCAAAATAACAATAAAAAAGAAATAAAAAAATGACTAAAATGAATAAGCCTTTTATAAGGTCAAGGACTAACAACCCTTAAAATATTAGAAACTAAAATAGGACTAACTCGAAAGTTTACTCCCCCAAATTGTGAATAAAGCAAAGTAAACAGGAATCTAATAAATGGAATAGTGAAAGAAGACAAACACCTGAACTTTTAACATTTTTCCTGTTGGGTTTTGAAGGATACTTGGTGTAGTAAATCCAGATGCATAAAACACACAAAATGACTGCACCAAGTGAAGTGCTGGCAACAGCAATAGCTATTACCATTTTCTTGTGTGAATCAATTTGTTGCTGTTCAGCTCCCATCACAACACCTGATCAACATGTAGTATTTAACAATAACAGGAGCACAAAAAATACATGGAAACAAAATATATCTCATTCATTCAAATTTCAAAAAACAATTAATGTAGCAGTTAAGCAAAAGGGCATGATCAAAATACAAATAATGAGATATATCATACAAAGATAAGCAATGAATAAAAAGTGTCACTTTATATTATCTGCATTAAGCTTGTCATGATTTCAAATTTGAATTTGAAACTGTTGAATGCCAATAAAACAAACAGAAGATAGAAACAGATAGTGATAGAGACAGCAAATGGAAGAGAGAGAGAGAGAACCTGGAGAAGAAGCAGAAGTTGAGGCGGAAAATGGAGAAAAGGGTGGAACTTCAGGTGAGGGAACAAGAGGGTATGTTGTTGAGGCAAGAATGTAAATGGGTTCGTGAAGAATAAGGAGGAACATGAGAAACATAAGAAGAAGAAGCTTCGTTTTCATTGTTTGTTTCTAAGAGAACATGAAGATAACAGATATGTGAAGGTTAAGGTTTATGCCTGAAAAGGAACACACGCACGCACGAAAGCACTTAGTTTGTGAGCCACTGAAAGAAAGTGAATGTGTTTTGGTTGGAGTGTTTTGGATCTTTGAGACTAGACCTTTTTTAAACTTCAAAAAGAAAAAAAAACCCTTTCTTATCTCTTTTTCAAACTTTCTGTTGAGCACTTTCTCTGTTTTTTTTTTTTAAATTAATTAAACTGTATAGTTTAATTATAAATTGATATATGAGTAAAAATTATTAACTATTAAATGATTATGAATTTTACCTAATTATCCCATGAGATAAAAAATATATCTAAATAAAATATTAAAATAATTTTTTTAATGAAAATTGTATTAAATTTTTATTTAATTTTTATATACAAATTCTCATTAATATCCTATGATGATATTATTTGGTTTATCGAATAATTTAAACAATTTATAAGTAATTAAAAGTTATACTTAATATTATATTATAAGTAGTTGTCAATATACAATTTTATATACTTACAATATATCAAAATTAAAATTTTTATCTTTGGTTCTCTTTATGCACCTGTCTTTCTCAGCGGAAGGAAAAAGGGAACAACAATGGGCATATGAGATTTAATTTTAACGTGGGAGCTGCAGGACAATCATGGGTACTCGTGCATTGTTTCAGTATATGCATTTCGCTCAAAATAATAATAATGAAAAAAAATCTAAGGGATTTTCAGAAGAAAGAAAGGAAAATATTTGAATGTCATATGATACAGAAACAGTTAGCTACTATAGCTTCCTAAAACGAGAGAGAAAATTGACAAAGTTTGAACATTCTCTTCTTGGAGGCCATTCATACGTATTGTAATATATATGCAATATGCAATTATCTTAGTTTAAATCTAAATTCATTTCATTTAATGCGTTATAATTTATCTATTATAGTTTTTTTTTCCGGTACCCAATGACCACCTTAGTCTAACTGTCACTCCTATAAAACAGTGCTGCAATTTTTTACTAATATTAATTGTGGGTAATGAAGAAATTAAAAAAAAAAAAAGATATTGAAGTTATTTAGTTTTAGTAGTTTTTTTTAGGACAAAAAATGACATTGTTTTTTATTTAAAAATTTTGTATAAAAAACAATGCCCACAATGAAAAAATAGTGAAAATAATACTTTTTTACACGTTTCTATATAAATTCTTGAAAACTTGTACATACAAACTTTTAAAACAAAAAATAAAATAAAAATAACATTTTTTTATTATTAAAAATAGAAACAAAAACAATTTTCAGACCAATCAATTCCATATCAACCATAGGTGCTACATCTTTGCTTTAGGTTTAATTTGGATTTATTTTATATTTTTTTTACAAAACCGACCACCAACAAAACTATCATCAATTTGAAATTTATTAATTTTTCTTTAAATCTGACCCACTATGATCAAACCTAATCAAGCAATGTGGGAGGAGAATTCAATTCATATTTCATGTATTAATATATTTAGACGTTGAATCTCAATAAATAAGTTTTATGGGACACTCCACAACTGCTTACATTTCAATGAATTCGTAATCCTTGTCTTTTTATTTTTATGATAATATGAATTTTGATACATGAGTGAATTATATTTAATCCATATACTTTAGAGGGTAATATATTATGAAAATATTCATATTGCACAATTTTTGGACCATTTGATGAAAAGTAGAGAGAGGAGGAATACTAGGAAAAATATTATAACCAATGACTCGATTATTCTAATTAAGTCAATTGCGTGGTAATCTCGCTATGTTTTATTTTCCTCCTCCATTTGGTAGGAAATTCTAACTGTTATTCACAATCACAAACGTTATTGTCACAGCTCATGGATAAGCAAAGTCACCAAAAGTCTTAAAAGCAAAATGCTACATCAAATCATTAATTGCTAACTATTAGAAAGACATAATTGATAAAAATGAATTGCTAACCCAAATCAAAGCATATTGTTCCACCTACGAACCTACTATTATCTGTGAACTTCCAAGAACGTTAGAAAATCCAGAAAGAATAAAAAAAAAAATGGCACAAAATGCATTCAACAGTGTTCTTAAAACTTGTGCTTTCCTTCCTCCTTTGTATTTTTCCCCCGGTAAATAATCTATTATTTTTCATTAATAACATGACATGCATATTTAGTTAGTTACATCACTAATCTCCTTAGAATAGTCACTAATGTGATATATTCAATGCATATATCAGATTAACAATAAATGACGATGAGAATCATTTTGAAAACTTTAAAATTTATAAAAATAAAAACTAACATATTTTAAATAACTAAATCAAATTTAATAATATTTATAAAGAATAAGAACATAATTAAGTCTGCATTTAAAAATAATAAGAAGAAAGGGTGGGTAGGCCACTTTAGGATAAGACAATGGTATTAGATATAAAGTTAGGAAATATCTGACTGGAAAGAGGTCGAAGGATTACACATAAATAAGGGACAACGGGTTTGAGCTTTGAATATATTGGTAGAAAATAAACACTCGTCACGTGTTAGGTCGATTGTGGATTTGAATTTTAGTAACGAAGCACGTTACTCCAACTATTGTATAAGATTATATGCAGTATATGTATGTCTCTTTCTCTTTTTTATAATAAAATGAAATGATAAGGTCCAAAATAACCATTGGAACGTCATAAAAGAAACGATAAATAACATAAGCAAATTCTAAGTGACAAGATCATATATCCTAATAAGAAAAATTGTCTCTCATGTTTGTAAGGACCCAACACCATAAGAATCAAGGAAGGGAGAACAAGGTAGTCACTCATTGCTACTACAAAGCTCAAATGAAATCAGAACTACCAGAAGAAATTATCAAGCCAAGAAGCTCTTACATCATGTGTTGAAATTGAGTTTTAACATGCTTTAAAATTATGTGTATGTTTAAATTCACATTTACAAATAATTATAAATGTATGCTTATTTTAATGTTATTCATATTTACTTCAACACCACCGATTATAATTTTTGCATTAGATCCACATTTACATTATTTTTAAACATGTAATTAGTTATAATTTTTATATTAGATTTATATTTATATTTATATTTTTTTTTCAATATATTTTCAATTACATTATAACTAATAATATTGGAGCAAATATAAATACATTGGTTAATTAAACATAAATGTCATTGCACAATAAACATAAGAGGCAGGAATTCTCAAGAAAAATAACACTTACCAAAATGAGAAAGGTTAATAACATACTTTTTGTATTTTTATACTTTTAAGCAAACTATTTATTGTTGATTGAAGTTCACGATCATGCAAATTAAAATTAAATGAAATTCATGTAGAATTTATAAAACGGGTGTGCTCAAAGTCTGTTAAAGGATTACAGAGACACAGGGATCGACCACTCTTTATCACAATGTATTCCTAATTTTCCTCTTGGAACTACTATCATGCTTATAAATATTAATTGAATTTATTTACATACATTAGCACAAAATTTTTACAAGTCCATTATGCAGAAAAATAAGAATAAAATGTTCACTAACTATAATATAACAATGAAAAGATTAAAACATGATTTTCTTTGGCCAATAATGATCTATCTGTGCTAGCTAGTCTAGTAAATATATCGAGAGTAAAATGAATGAGTTCTATACATTTAATAAATGGTTAAGATGCCTCAGCTTGTGATCTTTATTATAGAAAAGACAAATGAAAAGAAAGGCAAAGTAATTAAAGAAAGGACAGTGAGATTGAAATAACAACAAACAAATAAGCATTCCAATTAATTTATGATTGGAAATGTACGTTCATCCAGATCATCATGCTTTAAACATTGTCTAATATGTCAATGCCTTAAGTACGCATATATATAATTTCAACTCAGTTATTGTTTAAATTTATCATCTTAACTTTATCTTAATTGATCTTCAAATTTTGTAAAATAATCAAGATTTTCTTTATTGGTAGTAATAATCCATTTAAGCATTTGACACATCAAGAAAAAATGTTCAAGCAAATAAGTTTCTTTTTGTTTTTTACATTCTACTTAATATTATATATAATTATTTTTATCTCTTACTATAAAAAAAATAACTTTTTTATTATCTCACTTGAATGTTCACAACAGATTTTGTGAACATTTTGCTAAATGAATCTATGAATGGGCCTAGCAGCATTAAAATTCCTTTGTTGTCATCTTTCCTTTCGGTACAGGAATTGGTGTAAACAATTTTGGATAGGTAAGCCATTTTTATGAAAGTTGTGAAACATGGGGCTTGGATATAGTTGAAAGTTAATATTGGACAAGTAACATAGGTAACATTTTGTTCAAAGAAAATTCTTCAATATAATCACTAAAATAGATAAAAGTGTTGAATAAAGTTATATTTTTAAGAAGAGAATTATATCATAAAAGGTATTAAAAAATAATTATCAACTGCGAGAGCACCACACAATGATTTTTCTTAGACATGATAAAAATATGCCAATACTAGCATCTTCCTTTCGGATCTAGATTCAATGTAGTTGATGAGGGTGCAGCCAAACACAGAATATTCGTCTTAGTGCCTTGTGATTTATACAAATTATATATAATTCAAATAATATGGTTTCAAAATTACTTATATATTTGAATTATATATGATAAACTATCCCTCTCATAACGCTTTTCACTGCCATAGAAAAAGGGTGTGAAAAGAAAGTAAAGTCAATTAAATAGATTAGGAATTGAAAAATGTTTTCTACTACAAACTTAAGCATGAAGAAATGCAAGTTCTTCTCTCTAAATTTTTTTTTCTTCTAAGGTAGTTTTTCTTAATTGAAAACCTTCGGAAAACTATTAACTACTTCAGAGTTTAGACTAAAATGGCTGTATAATTTTAAGGAAACACAAACTCAAATGAAATAGTTCTAAATTGGACTGCATTAGTAAGCATAGCAAAATCTAGATTCTTTGCCTCCAAAAATGTCCCGGAAAGTA